TGCAAATACCTTCCTGAGGACTGTCAGGAGGATTTTGGTGGGCCAGGTGGCATGGTGGTTAAGGTGGCTGGATCCCACATGGCCGATTATGCTGTTTGCGTCCCCAACCCGGAGGATTGAGAAACACGCCGGGCCTACGTATGTGAGTGCCCCAGGTCCCAAAAGGAGAAATGAAGGACTGCGGCGTGGCCATCCCCCATGGAGTGGTTCTGGCTCCCTTTCCTACTTCTCTCACTCTCTGTCTCTCTGACAAGTGCACACACCCTCTAGCAAATTAAATATAGTAAAAAAAAATAGAGAAACAAATAAAGGCCGGAAAGTGGCATAATGGTTAAGGAACTGGACTCCCACATGGCCAACTGCAGTTTGAGATCTGAACCTGGTGGCTTGAAAACTCACACTGGGCATTTGTGCGTGCATGGACCAAAAACCCCAAGAGAACAGAAAAGGGATTGTGGCATGGCCATTCCCCCTGGGGGGTAATTTCTCATTTTCCCTCTTACTGTTTCGATCTCGCTCTCTGGTGAGCACATGTCCACTATGACACAAACCTAAAAGATAGATAGATAGATAGATATAGATAGATAGATAGTAAGTGTCTTAGTAATCTTATAAAGAGAAGAGGAGATAGCATAGAACCTGCTCTGTGTCTATCAGTGGTTATTGCTCCTCTTCTTATTTAACTTCTCTAATCTTAGTTTACTCACCTGAACATGAAAATACTACAAATACCACCAGTGATAATAACGACAGTGCTAAGCCTGCTTACCTCACAGTCATGATGCCCAAATACAGAAAGTGTTTTGTAAGCTCTAACTGTTCTATAGACGTGAGCTATTATTGCTATTATAAGAATATATCCAAGTTCCTCTGAGCTCCCACTTCCTCAGCTGTAAAATGGGGCTAATGGCATCTGCACATCCTGTCTGTGATCCCTTCTCCATGAGGCAAGAATAAGGTACTGCATGTGTAAATGCTCCGAGAACTCCCCAGTACCGAGCGGCTGTCAGCAACCATCATTCGGGACCACCACAGAAGCAGTGCGAACGCCTTGGGGCTTGGAATCCCAGACATCTAGATGCGAGCCTCTCTGTCACTTTCTAGCCCAGAAAGAAACACTGGCTCTCGTCTTGCCGTCCGTGACAGGTGGGTGGCCTTCACGCACGTCTCACGGTACACGCATAAGCTCCGACCCTATTCAGCCAGCATGGGCCCCTCAGGAGAGGACCACTCCTTGCTGCTGGCCGCCGGCCCAGTGCCGCTCTCTGGGGACTTCGCTCCCTGCCAGGAGGCTTCCGTTTCCTCTCAGTGGAATGGTGATAATTACAGCAGCCCCTTGGGATGCTGTGCCTTTTAATTAATATTTATAAGATGCCTGGAGATCTCCCTTGAGAAAGGTGAGTAATGCGTCCATTCCAAAGCGGTCTTGTCTTGGGCCAGCCGGTGGTCATGGCCTCCTGCTGGCTTCCCCAAATGGATCAAGGGCCTTTACAGGCATGGTTTTTTGGTAGTTAGAAAGACACCATTTTTCTAGAAAAGTTGAATTCTACTTTCCCAGGAGATGAGTCTTACCACTCAGCTTTGTGTTGATCTGAGATACTCACAAGAGACCTGGATCCAGGTGCCCTGGTTCGGTTGTGGAAAGTCTGGGTGTGAGAAACAGCAAGAACTATAGCTCTGGGTTTGCGCTTCACTCTACCCTCGCTGCTGAGGCAGGCCCAGATCTCCAGGCCTGGGGTCAGGACTAGAAAAGGACCAGCCCTAGGGACTGTGGACCCTCCAGATGGGGCCTGCCCATTGCTCTCAGCTGACGGGGCCTGATGGGTCAGTGGGAGAGCAGAGTCCATGCTGGCTGATTGGGGGATGTCTCTGAGCCCCACCTATAACGTGCTCTGGAGGGTCAGGTGAATGGCTCCTTACTGAGAATAGTGAGCAAGTCCCATTATTTCCGGAAGAGTTCCATTTCCACCTACTAACATCTCCAAACGATTTTTGGTCTTATGATTATTTTTTAGTTTATTTTTTCCTATAGGGCATGTGCACTCACCAGAGACAGAGAGATAAAGAGACACAGAGAGAGAGAGATCATCCCACAGGATGGATGGCCATCCTACAATCCTTCTCTGACATTCTCCTCTCAGGATTTTGGGCATGCACACACACACACCTGGCATGTTTTCAAAGCCTAACATTAGGTGGGGAATTCGACCATGCTATCAGCCATGTGGCATCCAGCCACCGTAACCACCATGCCACCCTCATAATTTTTTTAGAGAGATTTTTGCTATAGGATGTGTGCTCTTGCTGTAGAGACAGAGAGAAACAGAGACAGAAAGCAAGAAATCACCCTCCGGGGGGATGGCCAGGCCACCTACCCTTCTCCTCCATTCTAATCTTGGGATTTTGGGCACACACATGCACCCCATGTGAATTTTAAGCCACCAAGTCCAGGGCTCAAACCACTGTCAAGTGTGTGGGAGTCCAGCAACATAATCATTATGCCATCTGCTGGTCCCAAGGGTTTTTTTAACTGGAAGAGAAGGTTGTGTCTCACCATAGTACATAGCCTAGCTCAGCTTGGCATGAACCTGGGAGGGTCTGGTCTGGACCAGCTATGTGTGGAGATCACAAAAGAAGCATTTGGGTTTGTTTACTTCTTTAACGCACCAGGATTTCTCTCTTTCTTTCTTATCTTTTTTTTTAAAGAATTATTTATTTATTCAATTTTATCTTGTTATTAATTTTTAATTTGACCAGACATACAGAAAGAGAGAGCGAGAAAACAAACCACCAGGTCTGGGACTTGAACCATGGACAGCCATGTGGGAATCCAACACCTTTAACCACCATGCCACCTGCCAGAATTTCTTAATTCTCAAACAAAATCAGCCAATAATCCCTTCACTAAGATAATGCCTTCGCATGATCATAAATACAAATGATGATAACACATTCACATCACAAGGAAGTACAGATATTACAGCGAAGTAAAAACCAGAACATACGCCTTTCTTCCCCTGGTGCTAGACTCCGTCTTGCCAAATGGCAGTGGTAAATGTTCTCTAGGGCTGGCTCCGCACCGGGCTCAGCACGGTAAACTACTCGAGAAAAGCAAGGTCCCCTGTGGGGTTTGGTTTGAATTTCTTGGCCAGGCACCTGAAATACGCAGGACACAGGTGTGTGCCCTAGATCTGACGAGCTGGCGGGCTGGGCAGAGAGGGTCGCGGCGTGACCGGACCCCGTGGGGGTGCTCGTCTCTCTCTGCTCTCTCTCGTAACCACATATGCTTTAACATGAGTAAAGAGACAGTATTTGTTTTAGGCTTTGTACGTGTTTTCCCAGAACAGAGGTCTGTTCACTCGGGCATCGCTTGCCCCTGGTCTGGCCTAGGCTGTCTCTTTCTACCTCCCCCGCCACTCACAGCGGTCCAGCACCAGGCCGGCTCGCCATTTCTCAGCAAGCCGAGGTGGTTCTGCTCAGGGCCTGTGCCCTTGCTACTCCATCTGTGCAGACCCCTCTGCCCCCAGGTAGGACGTAATGGCTCTTCCCCGAACTTCTTGTTCATGCTTCCTTTCATTTTGTCAGAGGGAGCATGCACCCACCAGAGAGACAGAGGGAGAAAGCCTCTACCCTCCTCCCCGGAAATGACCACTCTGCAATCCCTTCTCCTCCGTTTCTCCATCTTAGTGGGATTCGGGGCACACACACACACACACACACACACACACACACACACACGCCCAGTATGTGTTTCAAGCTGGTGGATCCAAGATTTGAACCAGGTAGTCAACCCCGTGGGATCTGGTTGCCTTAACCACTAGGCCATAAGAGGCCCCTCCCCCATTTCTTTCAGGTTCCTGCCCACACGTCACCTCATCAGAGAGGCCTCCTTGAATCCCCCTGTTTAGAGCTGTCACCCACCATGCACCTTCCCCGCTCACTTTGCTTTCGTCTTCTTCATAGCGCTTGGCACCAGTCCACACTGCATCACCTGGCCTCCTCTGTTAGCCTGGCAGTTCCTTGGCTTGGTCGGTGGGTTCGCTTCTCCAGCTGTCGTACCTAGAGGGTACCGAGCACCTAAGAGGCACTTGATACATGCCTCCCGAGTATCCCTTAGAAAGGGCTCGCTTCTGGGGCCGGCAGGTGGCGTGGTGGATAAGGCCGCTGGACTCCCACATGGCCAACCATGGTTTGAGTCTTGGACCTGGTGACTTGCTTTCTCACTTTCCCTCTCTCACTCGCTCTCTGTCTTTCTGTTCAAATTAAAACAAATAAACTAATTAAATGAATGCATAAATAAAATTAAATAAATAATTCTTTTTAAAAAAAAAACGAAAAAAAGAAAAGGCTTGCTTCCTCTCGGCCCCGTTCCCACTTAATCCTGGTGTCCCTCTGTCCTTCCTGTTATCGCAGGCGTGTGTCTGTGAAGACACTTGGACGCACATCTTCTCAGCCTTTTATGAGATCGTTCAGGTAAATAAATTCCTACCAGGGGAGCTGCTAGATCAAAGAGCATGCACATTTTACAATTTAATAGAGAGTCCCAACTGCCTTCTTGGGGAGGTGAACCTGTCTGCACTCCTGCCAAACAGCAGGAGAGCAACACTCCCCAGTTCCCTCCCACTGTCCCCCCACTGACCCCACCCGGCCCTCTTCCTGCCCTCCCCCTGATCCCCCCACTG